ATGGATGGATGGATGGATGGATGGATGGATGATAGATGGGTGGATGGATGGATGGATGATGGATGGATGGATGGATGGATGATAGATTGATGAATGGATGGATGGATGGTTGATACACTGATAAATGGATGGAGGGATGGATGGATGATAAACAGATGGATGATGGATGATGATAGATTGATGCATGGATGATAACCTGATGGAGGGATGGATGATGGATGGATGATAGATTGGTGGATGGATGGATGATAGACTGATAGATTGATGAATGATGGATGGAGGAATGGATGGCTAGACAGATGGATGATGGATGGAGGGATGGATTGATGGATGGATGGATGGATGGATGGATGGATGGATGGATGGATCGATCATCCATCAGTTTAACTACCCATCTTTCTATTGATCTGTCAACCAATCACTTTTCTATTTATCTATCCATCCATCCATCCATCCATCCATCCATCCATCCATCCATCCATCCATCCAGAGTCCAGTTCATGGTTTGCAGGCAGCCTCTCCCCCTCCTCTTCCTGACTCTTCCTGTCTTCCTGCCTCTCATCCCACTCACATTTTACTCTGCAGGAGGAGTTTAAACACACAAACACGATCTGAGCTGCTGGTTCTGGTCACAACCTCTGGACCGAGCGGCACCGTGGATCCAGCATCCGTCCGTGTCACCAGACAAATGAAAACTCTCCTGCAGAGGCTGCTTGTCAGAAATAAACGAACAGGTTCCTTCTCTTCATGTGTTAATTCTCTGAACTGCAACAACCTAACTGTTCGCTCTCTCAAAGTTTTGTTAAAATCCACCTGGGAGGTCATGAGATATTTTGCTAACAGACTGTTGCTCACACACACACACACAGACAGAAACAGTATGGCTCAAATTTTACATTTTTGGCAGAGGGCGATAGAGATTACAAGAAAGTCAGGCTCATTGAAGCAAAGAAGAAAGACATTAAGGGTGGATTAAAACTTTTGCACAACTTTGTCCAAATCTGGATGCAAAATGTTAATAAAAGATCCCTCGGCACATGAAATTTAAAAACCTGCAGCACATAAAATGAGAAATATTGCTTCTATATGCCATAAATCAGCTCTGCAGCCAAGCTACTAAAATCCTACATTTCCCATAATGCAACTGGACCATATCTTTTGTCAGAGAGCTATTTGTCATTTTAACTAAATTATGCACAGTTTTACAAAGTAAAAATATTTTTGAATTGCCAAACAAGAAAGTGACGTGCGTTTTGTCTCGATCAGAGGTTTTATTTTTCTTCGATGAAAGTCGAAGTTTAGATCTAAATTACTTTTAATAAAAATCCGGCTCATTGAACTCCCTCACTTGAAAGAAACAGACTTAATCAGACACGTTAGATGAGCCATGAAGAATCCAGTTCATCTCATTAATTTAAAAGATGGCATTTTAAAACTACAGCTTTTTTTTTTTTTTTTACCCACAGTGCATTTAGGGCCCCCTCTGAGCCGAGGGCCCCGGGGCCGTATCCACCCACTGGTGTTATCTGCATGCCGTACACTGACTTTACTTAAATAAAAGCTGGTCTCACAAGGCGCGACTGAAACGATTCTAATCTAGAAGTGCTTTTATGCAACTAGTGTCCTGTTCCGTAAACAAATGTGCGCTCGTGAGCGTGAGCGTGGGCTCAGACAGGAAGTAATGCAAATATTCTGCTTGGGTTCTCGTCCTCAGAGACGTGTCTGTTCAGACACTAATGTCTCCGTAGTCTTAGAATGAGACGCCTGCGGTCAAATCAAACACCGCCAGATGTGACGCTGCGCAGATGTTTAAATCTTATTATGATCAAACAGATAATAGTGATGTTCTGAAGAAACATGATCACTCGCTGCAGGTGGGCCAGTTTTACTTAAATACTATTGTTCACAGTGGCGCAGTGGGTAGAGTCGTTGCCCCTCAGCGAGAAGGTCGCTGGTTCAAATCCCTGCGTAAATAAAGGTTGAATGGAAAAAATAAATCCCGGCTCAGGACCTTTCTAGGTGGAGTTTGCACGTTCTCTCTGTGCATGCGTGGGTTTGCTCCGGGTACTCCGGTGTCCTCCCACAGATCAAAAACATGCATGTTAGTCTGACTGATAACGAGAGAGAGAGAGAGAGAGAGAGAGAGAGAGAGAGAGAGGGAGGGAATGGTTGTCTCGTTTGTCTCCATGTGTCCCTGTGATGGACTGGAGACATGTCCAGGTGTCCCCCCGCCTCTCGCACAGTGACAGCTGAACATGGGCACCAGCGACCCAAAAGCGAAGAAGCCGGTAAAGATGATGGATGGATGGATGGATGGATGGATGGATGGATGGATGGACGGATGGATGGAGCATGCATCAGGACATTTTGAACCACTTTGGCCAGGTTTGCCTCAGGGTGGTTCTGTGAATAGCAAGCGGCCACCAGGGCACTTAAGGCTCCCACAGATTCAGGCACGCTGTCCGCAGACAGTTGAGACGTCATACTCGAGCGTACACCCTGATGGGCTGCAGCCCAGCTCCGCAGGCAAGGAGCATTTACCTTCGGGACAAATTGAGGTCACCGAATGGTCATTTGCTGACACGCCTACTGGATTGATTGACAGGTCGCAAAAAAAAAAACTGACAACAAGAGACACTCTTTCTGTGTTGGGTCCGTGTTCAGAACTCTGTTGTTGTAGCCACTGATTTAGTTTGGTCTGGTTGTTTGTGTAACCACAAACACAACAGGTACCTGAACTCAGCACGGCTATTTTAGTCAACTTTATGGTTGTTAAATAAATGTAAACAAAACAAAACAGAGTTTCATATCTGCTAAAATTAATGCAAAGTACTAACAAATAAGCCGCGGCTCGTTTTCCACTACCACGTTTAACCAAGGCTTACTGCTACTTCCTGTCTGACAGGAAGTTGTGCCCATAATCCTTTATACGGTAGAACCCCAGGAATAAGGCGGATAGGACTGAGTTTGTGGCGTGGCCTCAGACTGATGAAGTCTTTCAGATGAAACGTTTCAACCAAGAAGAATCCGTCCAGATGACCTGACTTAACTTTTTCAGATTTAGCACATATCCCTGCAAGACAATATTCTGACGGGGGATGTGCACAAATTAGGGTTTTGGGAGGGGTGAGAAAAAAAGATGCAACCACGTCAGCGAAACACAACTTGGTCACTTGTCATGGAGTATAAACCAGCCTTTAGAGACATTTTAGGCCATTTTGAATCAAGATGACAACAAAACTTAATGAGCTGTTGATGTAAACTCAATGATTATGTTCAGTGTTTCAATAAAATCTATCCAGTGGATTATGAAATATTTTGCTAACACTAGAGTCAAAGAAACACACTCGTATGCACATTGTTTCCAGCAGCGGTTGCTAATTATTTTCATGCACCTAAAATAAAGTGTTGAATCCAAATCAGTGTTTGTTCACCAGGTTGTTGACAAGTATGCAAACTAGAGACGCAAAAAATAAACAAATATTTATTAAATCCATTGAAAAATGAGGAGTAAAACGGAGAGCACCTAAAGTGTGGGTTTTATGACTTTATGGGAACAAACTATGAATCCAATCTTCCAAATCAGCCGAACAA